TGTGTTGCAGTATTCCTGTTAAAGATTCTAGCTCCTCGGGAAAACATTCTTTTTTCTAAGACATGTCATTCCAATGTACTCCTTGGCTATTTTGTGTGAGTTTTCCTTTTTATTGAGTTAGGCTCCTGTACTTTCTGATGATATTCAGTCTTTGATGTTTTGTTTTAAGGTTCCCCACTCAAGTTAAGTGTGCTATTGTTTTTAAAAATTCTTCTAAAGAATCTTTTCTTGAGTTAGCAATAGCACTTAGATTTATATACCGCTTCACACAGCCCTCTCTAAGCGGTTTACAGACTCAGCATATTGCCCCCAACAATTTGGGTCCTCATTTTACCCACCTTGGAAGGATGGAAGGCTGAGTCAACCTTGAGCCGTGGCTCAGTAGTTGCTGCTTTATTTGTTTATTTATATCCTGCTTTTATTATTTTTATAAATAACTCAAAGTGGTGAACATACCTAACATTTCTTTGTCTTCCTGTTTTCTCCACTACGATCCTGTGAGGTGGGTTGGGCTGAGGCAGAGTGAGTGGCCTAAAGTCACCCAGCCAGCTTTTTTATTTTCCTTTTTGAAAACAGGTGGTACTGTTCTTTATCCAAATGATCAACACTTACAGAATTAAGTTAAAAAAGCACCAGATTTCAAGATGGGACAAGTATAATAAAATAAACAAGAAAAGGCAAAAAAAGAGAGAAGAAAGTGCTTTTCAGCAATCATAAACTGGTGTTTCTGTCACAATCCAATAAATAGAATTGGCTTCCATTCCAGCATGATAACTAAAGAGTTTCCAGGGAAAATGGTGATGAGTATCAAGCATTTTTGCTAATTATAAAACAAGTCCTTAGAGAGTTGCAACAAATTTTAGCCTCTCTTCCAAAGCCTCTCACTGGATTGGGCATGGAGGGAGGAACTGAATTTTTCCCTGGAGTGTTTGTGACAAAAGGTCTTTTCCCCATGTTAACTATTTCAGAACAGACCTAACTTATCAAAATAATTACATGCTTACTTCTCAGTGGCAGTTGCCTATTTTTAATTTTCCTGGAAGATTGAGAATATATCAGCAGCACCAATGCTGCTGTAAGTGCTTTTCTACATTCTCCTCTGGGAAAGTATTACAGAACAAAGCCTCCTTTAAATAAACATTATTTTGTGTGGTGTACAGGAAACCCCCTAGAAGACATCTTATCACAATAATTATAATGAAATAATTTTTTTTTAATATTTAAAGGCCTGGATTAGGGAGAGCTCTAATGGGGAAATGCATAACTTTTGATCCCCAGCCTTGCTGCCTCCTATTATTATCTTTCCTCTTTCTCTAGACTTTACAAGCAGTGTTGACATAAATGAAATAGATCAAAAGCAGTGCAAGAATCTATTGCCCCACATAAAACACATCCCATCTAAAAACATTGCCATTCCTGTTACCCTCCAAGGCAAAACATCAACTGATAAGAGGAGTGAACTGAAGAGTAAATAGTTCAGGACATGAATGGAAAAATGTTTCAATTGGGAGCTGCCAATTCAGTCCTTAGCTGCTGTTTCTCGGCAACTCTTTGAGTTAGTTGATAATCAAGTGGCCAATTTTCAGTAGACAGGTGAAATAGTTTTATGGCATAGACTGTCTCCCATCCCAGCTATAATATTATATATTATATTATATATTTTTAAAGGGGGGGGTAGACTCAGGAAACTACAGACCAATCAGTCTAATATCAATACCTGGGAAGATACTGGAAAAAATGATTAAAAAACAGATCCGTGAACATCTAGAAACAAAGTTATAACTAGTAGCCAGCGCATCTGTTTGTTAAAAGCAGATCATGTCAAACCAATCTTATTTCATTCTTTGACAAACTGACCAAATTAGTAGACCAGCAAAATGCTGTGGACATAGTACGGTATATAGAGACTTCAGCAAGGCATTTGACAAAGTAAACCACAACCAGTGGTGGGATTCAGCCAGTTCGCACCACTTCGGGAGACCCGGTTGTTAACTTTCTGAGCAGTTTGGCAAACTGGTTGTTGGAAGAAATCATTAGGGCAGAGAACCGGTTGTTAAATTACTTGAATCCCACCACTGACCACAACTTATTTCTTGGTAAGCTAGAAAAATGTGGGATAGACAGCATCATGACCAGATGGATTTGTAACTGGCTGACAAACTGTACTCAACAAGTAATTCTTAATGGTATTACATCCACATGGAGGGAATTAAGTAGTGGGGTACCACAAGGTTCCATCTTAGGTTCACTACTCTTCAATATCTTCATAAATGACTTAGTTGAGGGAATAGAAGGGGAACTTATCAAATTTGCAGATGACAGGAATAGCCAACACCCCAGAAGACAAGCTCAGAATCCAAAAAGATCTTGACAGACTTAAACAATGGGCCCTATCCAACAAAATGAAATTTAATGTGGGAAAAAAGCAAAGTTTTACACTTGGGCAGGAAAAACCAAAGGTACAAGTAGAGATTAGGCGAAACCTGGCTCAAAAACAGTAACTGTGAGAGGGACCTTGGAGTCCTAGTGAATGATCACTTAAACATGAGTCAGCAGTGTGCGGCAGCAGCCAAAAAAGCTAATACAATCCTTGGTTGTATAAACAGAGGGATAGAATCAAAATCACATGAAGTATTAGTACTGCTTTATAAAGCCTTAGTAAGACTACACCTGAAATACTGCATCCAGTTTTGGTCACCACATTACAAAAAAGATGTTGATACTTTGAAAAAAGTGCAAAAACGAGCAATTAAGATGGTTAAAGGCCTGGAGATTAAAACATATGAAGAATGGTTGCAAGATTTGGGTTTGGCTAGTCTAGAGAAAAGAAGGACTTGGGGACATGATAGCAGTATTCCAGTATTTGAGGGGCTGCCACAAAGAGGAGGGGGTCAATTTATTTTCCAAAGCACCAGAGGGCAGGACAAGAAACAATGGACGGAAACTAATCAAGGAGAGAAGCAACCTGGAACTAAGGAGAAAGAAACTTCCTAACAGTGAGGACAATTAACCAGTGGAACAGCTTGCCTTCAGAAGTTATGGGTGCTTTATCATTGGAGATTTTTAAGAAGAGACTGGATAATCACTTGTCTGAAATGGTATAGGTTCTCGTGCTTAAGAAGGGGGGTGGACTAGAAGACCTCTAAGGTCCTTTCCAGCTCTTCTGATTGATTGAACATTTGTTATTTAAGGTGCTATAAATGGGATATTGTACATACTGGGGTGCAAAATGTCCCTCCTTCTGAAAAGAATTAAAAAGAGTGCTGCTGATCATGTGCCGAATGCTTTTCCATTACCATAAATTATAAATATATCCAGGTCACAAATCCACCTTGGCAATGCCTTCATTAAACCAACTGGATTTTCACAATAGATCAATAGATTTTTACAACCTGGGGTCCCTGCACCCTCAGAGAGTACAAGATGGTATTTCAAGGGGTGCAACGAAGAGTGGCTTGTGTCCCTTAGTGATGAGTGACAATTACTTTTGTAGGGGGTGCAAACATTAATTAAATATTTCCTAGGAGTGTGGAGCATAGAAAACATTGAGAACTATTACATTAGATGCAAGCTTTCACTTTTAGCAAAACTCTTCATCAGACAAGAGACTTTTAAAACAAGAAAAAAAAGTGGAATGGGGATGGGGGGGTAGGAGGATGTAGTGATTGATGTTTAAGTCTGTACAGCTCAGAATCCTGTATGATTCAGATTAAGTAGAAATTGCCTGCAGCTCTACAGATTAAGCTCTAAAGCTCACATGCTGATTTTCAATAAGCCATTATTTTCTGATTTGATCTATCCTGTGATTTTTGTATTTTTTGGCAAAGTTGTCAGTCTAGGAGTGAACAATTATACTCCAAAGCTATGCACAATTCATAACTTCAAAAGTTCTCTCCTCATTCAATAGGATGACAATCTTACATTCCATTAATGCTCAGCTGTGGTTTTAAATAAACAACAACTGGATTCACATTATGCTGAGGCTAAACAAGCCACAGTTTGGTTTAGCCCACACAAATGTGTTTACATTCATATAAATGCATTAAAGGCTTGGAGGCTTCCTTTGAAAAATTATATGATGAACACTTGTTGGTGTCTAACCTGCAGTTAAAATGTTCCCACTGGCTAGAATACCTCTTCAATTTAAGCACATCCTCTTTCTAGTCAAGGTTAACAATATTCAGATATGCACAGGAGGCATGATCACCAAACCCCCAACCCCATCCAGCATCCCAAAAGTAGGCAGATTGCGGCAGAGATACAGGTAGTCCTCGACTTACGACCACAATTGAGCACAACGTTTCTGTTGTTAAGTGAAACACTTAGGTGACTTTTGTCCCGTTTTACGACTTTTCTTGCCACTGTTGTTAAGTGAAACATTGCAGTTGATAAGTGAATCTGGCTTACCCATTGACTCTGCTTGTCAGAAGGTTGCAAAAAGTGATCACATGTCCTTAGGACCCGGCAACGGTCATAAGTATGAACCAGTTGCCAAGCATCTGAATTTCGATTACACAATGATGGAGGGGATGCCTGCAAAGGCTGTAACTTTGAAAAGGTGTCATAAATCACAGTTTTCAGGGCCCTTTGAGTGGTCAGTAAACGAACTGTTGTTAAGTCGAGGACTACCTGTGTCCTGCTCCTTCAGGGATAAGGTTCCTTGACGGCAAAATCGACCTTTTTTTTAACAAACTTCCAACTTGTTCTTCCCCCTCCTGAGTCAGAAACGACAAACGGGTCAGCATAATAAAAGTCAAAGTCCTCGGCTAACGAGAAGCGGGCAAAGGGAAGGAGGGAAGGTAAAGTTGTACACTTCGAAGGCTCTGACGTGTGGCGCGATTCTTCTAAGCAGAAAGAAATACTGGAGGGACACGGAACAGCGTAAGTAGATCTCCATGGTACCCTGGCTTAGGAGCTTCGACGCCCGCCTCCCCCTCACCACCGCAAAACTTTGGGGTTTGCCCCAGTCTTAAGAGGGCAAACCCTTGTCTGGGACTTACCTCTTTGTCGTTTCAAGCGAAAAAGAAGACGGAAAAAATAAAAAGCTGAGGGAACAGGCGCCAGCTGCCCCGAGACGGGATCCCGCTACAACACTCCCCGGCCCACCTTCGTTTTGCGCGCACGATCTCCAGCGTCCACAACAACTCGCCGCCTGGGTAGGCAGCCTCGCAACTAACAACCAGGAAGGAGGCGGTCAAACATTACCAGCGGCTGGCGATAGGGATGAATGAGGAAGGAAAGGAGGCGGGCGCTCGATCTGGGTGGCTTCTGAGTGGATCCGATGAAAACTCGGCTTCTCTCTCTCTCTCTCTCTCTCTCTCTCTCTCTCTCTCTCTCCCTCTCCCTCTCCCTCTCTCTCATTCTCTCTCTCTCTCTCACACACACACACACCTCCCCCCCCCTTCCCCATCATCTTATCCCAGGAGGAAGGGATTTCCACCTGGTACAGAAGCTGGATCTGGGGAAACAGCAGGACAGAGGGGAAGAAATTCAGAGCCGCTCCCCTTCCCCTTATTTTTGTAGAACGGGTTTTTAGAAATCTAAATTGGCTCTGTTATCTAGTATTGGGGGATCTGGATGAGTTCCGGAAAAGGGTAAAGAGCAGTTGGGTGAAGATCAAGTCTGGTCTTTTATTCTCTGAAATATCAGCCCGTTGACAGATCTCAACTAATTTCTTTGCAATCTTACAAAGATTGCAAAATCCCACTGAAATCAGCGGGACTCCCTTCAATCATTCTGAAGGCGTACCTAGTGGCAATTCTACCTCTCTGTATGCGTATTGTGGCGGAAAAGCTGTTTGAAACCACCAGCCATATACAGTAATGAGTCTTGTGTACCATGTAGTCCTGCCTGCAAGAGAAGCTCCCTGATGGCAGTTTTAAGAGCTCTGCTCTTGGGATGGAGATGCAGCATTTTGTTGAAGTGTACCTCCTACAGGTGAGACATTATGCGGCATGTTGACGCCTGTTGGGATGGTTACCGGGCATGACACAGTAACTAGATTTTACAGTTGTGCTTTGGGATTGTTTCCTTCCTCTGGTGTCTGGGATGCCTGCAGGATATGGTCAAAATATATATATATACAAAAGTATGAAGGCTATTGCTTAACGCATTGTAAGCCGCCCTGAGTCTCCGGAGAAGGGCGGCATATAAAAAAAAAAAAAAAATCCCCCTCACGGGCTGATTCTGACAGCTGGCTAGGAGGCCTTCTCTGTTCATCACGAATTCATGTACAGCTTTCTTGATCTCATTGCTCTACATGTAGTCCTTGACCACAATTAGTACTAGAATTTCCATCACTGAGCAAAGAGGTTGTTAAGTAACTCCCATTTTACAACCTATTTTGCCATGGTTGTTAACTGAATCACTGTAGTTGTTAAGGGAATCATGTGGTCATTAAGTGAGTCTGGCTTCTCTCATTGAATTTGCTTATTGAAGCCAGCTGGGAAAGTCACAAATGGCAATCATATGATCCCGGGATGCTGCAACCATTGTAAACATATGCTGGTTGCTAAGCACCCAAATTTTGATCAGGTAACTATGGGAAGCTGTGATAATTGTAAGTGCAAAGACCGGTTGCAAGCCACTTTTTACAGTACCATTGTAACTTTGAATAGTTGCCAAACAAATGCTTGTAAGTTGAGGACTACCTGTAGTGACTAAATGCCGTCTGCCCCACATCCGAAGACTCATGGCGGACAGCCACCAGTCATGCCATATACTGGATTGTGAGCAGTGCTTGAATAAGCCTGCCTATCAAACTGATACTGCCCTACTCTTGAAGACATGGTCACCATGGCATAAGTTCCCATGCTCACCCACCAACCTAGACCCCATAGTCCCAAGTAGAGCAATATACAATGTGCACAGTGCTGTTTTCCTTCTTGGTCTGGAAGGATGTTAATTCTGGTGACAGGAAAGTTCTTGCAGGCAAGGAAATGCTAGCCAAGTAGCTGCAGAGTAAATAACCAAAGACTTGGCCTGAGAGATCCACAAAATTCGTGCTGTTAAACCCTCCCCACGGAAAGGAGAGGGCAGAAGGGGAGCTCTTATGCTTTGAACTCCCATTCCATATTCGGCTTTGCCTCAGCCACCCTTCAAAGTCTAGATCCCTTTTATTCCCTAAAATCTTCCCCAAAGCGGTCAGTATCAATGAGATTATTTGAAGTGTCAGTGTTATTGTTATTCATAGTACTATTAGTTAACATAGTATTTATTTATTTTTTTCACATAATAAATATCTGGGGATTGGTGAACAATCTGAAAATTCATGAAGTTGAGCTAAAGTGTTTGGGGACTCCTGACCTAAAAGGAAGATAAGTGCTGGAGCCCTTGACTCAATTTCTCTTCCCACTGAGCTTCGCTTCGCAGAGAGAAAACCAACCACCTGTTCTCTTCTTCATTGTGCATTGAGTCAGGGTTTGGGTGGTAATTAATCCCATTCTGCTTTTGGGTAATTGCACCTTGATTTAGAGAAATGGATTGTGACCTTTACTTGAAGTATACCTTAAGAAAATAAATCCGAAGATATATTTTCTAAGAAAAACTCATTTATTTGTTATAAAGAAAATAAAACATCTCACTAGCTAATTAGTTACATCTTGGCAGCGTTCCTGCCAGACCTCTCTTGGCCGGAGAACAAAGAAAGTTAGAAGAAAGTGAAAGAATGTGGACATACACAGTTAGCTTAAAGATAAGAACTTGGCAAGCTACGGTAAGTCTGAAAGTTCAAAAATAAGAGCTCATCTGGTAAATACAAAAATACAGTGACAGTAAATGTAGGCAATTTGAACTGGAGAGGTTAGCCAGTTGCCCAACCTACTGGACACAACTATGAAGAAAGAATTGCAAGGAGAATTGGGCACTGTCTCCTACTTCAGCCCATCTACTTCCCCCCACCCCATGACCGGTCAGGCTAACCAGCGCAGTGGAGGGAGAAAAGTGGGATATACCAATGGATAACGAGTGAGCTTCAGCTTCCACTGATACTGTGGGGAAAGGACAGGGCTGGCACTAGGCAGCTGTGGTTGGCATGACTGAGAAGCCACCAGTGACACAGAATTGGCAAAAATGGCATCAGCCAAGTAATAAAAACTGTGAAAAGTATGGTCATGCAAAAGAGTAAGAGAGAATTTTGCTGAACGCACCCTTAGCTTGTGATTGGTCTGAAAGTGTATATTTTTTCACAAGATTTTTTCAAAGGAAATGAATAGAAAAAGTGAAAGCAAAATCCCACCGCATAGACTTCCCTATGACTGGAAAAATGGAAGTTGAAGCTGATACGAAAAACGTCCTTTTCCTGCTGTTCATACTGAAGTCACTTCTGTGTCTTTATAAACGGCTCTTTATATTGTTGCTCCTGCCTGCAAATTCTTCTTTTAATCTTTTGTGACTACTCTGAAATAAAGCTGCATGTCAAGCACAATGATTCTGTTTTGAAAACATTGCATTTTGGCTGCATGTGTGATAATCCCTTCCTCTAGTAAATTTCTTCTTCAGCAAACTTGCTACATTTGCTACATTAATTTGTAGTGGAAGGTGGCAGTCACAAGATAATCTTTTTTCCAGAGTACAAAAAAGAATTTATGTGTGCATAGGTATTTGTGTGTCTGTGTCTGTGTGCATTTGTGTGTTTAGGAGGGATGAAGGGAGGGGGGAGGAGAGAGAGAGAAAGATATTTCCAGATATAATAAGAAAGAACCTTATTTTAAACACCTTGGAAACCCAGTAATAATTTCAAATTTTAATATTAATTTATCCATTGCCATTTCTTTTCTAAAATATTTTAGATCTCAATTCAGCTTCAGCTAGTCATGAATTACAGCTGCAATCCTGCCTTACCTGAAAATTAAGTCCCTCTGAAAATATATAGTTTATACTGCATTCCCTATCAACACGATAATTTAATAGGACTGCTGATACAAAATGAGAGCCAGTTTGCTGTCGTGATTAAAGCATCAGATTAGAAACCAGAAGATTGTGAGTTCTAGCCCTCCCTTAAGCACAAACCCAGCTGGGTGACCTTTGGGCCAGTCACCCTTTCTCAGCCCTAGGAAACAAGCAATGGGAAATCACTTCTGAAAAACCTTGCCAACAAAACTGCAGGGACTTGTCCAAGCAGCCACCATGAGGCAACCCTGACTCAAAACACACCCCAAAACACAAACTGAACACGGAAGTCTGGAACATCCGCAGATGGCAGCAAAAAGGTACCAAAAACTCATTTTCTTAATTGTGTCTTAATTTTTGCAGTACTAATTTGCTAGCCCTATATTTAATAGTTTCTAATGGAAATTTACCATGGCTATTTTATAACTGGGATAGAGCCTGAAGCATAATGATTATTTACTGCATGAATTTATTCCTAAACTGGATGAAGGCATGTGTTAGCAGTTGTCATTTCATCACGTTGTCTTATCTATACATAAACATGCTTCCAACAGTGAGCAGGCAATTATAGTGTCATTTGGAACTACAATTATAGATAAAGATGTGCATTATAAGTGACTACCATGATGGAAAACCAAGCAGATCCTCTGATAATTAATGTAATCATCATCTCAAATCAATTGTACTGACAGGGTGAGGATATCATAAAAGAAGGGGAAGGCTCCCCCCTTTTTATTTCTATCCTATTCAATTCTGATGAATATAAAACCAACTGGGATTAATTAGTTGCAAGTGGAGCTCTGCTAGCTGAGTATATTATTAAAAATGGCTGTGTTTGGCTCATTCTTCTTGATAATAAGGAATGTGTCAAATAGTCTGAGAAAAATGTATTTAAATATATTCATGACCCTCTTATCAAATCGGTAGGGGAAAATTATGAAATGTCAATTTAATAAATGTATGTGATTGCTAGATGTGTTATCTCCCTGATTATTTTGTAACATACATAAAAGATAAGAAAATATAGAGGCTTAATTGTTATCATTGCTTAAATATCTATTCCATGGCTAAAGAGCCATAAAATTGAATGCTGTTAAGTATTAATACATGGAAAAGCAAAATAAAATCTTATTCTTTCCATCATATCAAAGTGAGATGATACAAAATAGAGAGCTATCTCAGATCTTAAAATAGGCTTAGAGAAAACAAATTGGAAACTTCAAATATATTACAATTCCACATTTCATAGATATAGAATAGGATAATAATTATTGGGTTCACACTTAATGTATCAACCCAATCAGTTTGTAAGAGGAATCTTCCATTAATTATGTAA